AAACACTGCAAAAAGCACGGAACTGCATCACAAGACTAGCCTTCATTCTGAATCCTCAAATTCAAAGGAAACGAGGAAAGCTAAACAACACATTACGTGAAGAAATGGCGACAAACACGAGACGGCTGAACAAACATTGGACAGAACTGGTAAGGGAGGCTTAGGACAGAGCATGGTGGAGAATACTAGTAGGAGGCTTATGCTCCATGGGGGTAACAAGCTTAAGTAAGCAAGTAAGTTAGTTAGTAAATAAGTATAAGCTACGTCTTCCCTATAGAAGCTATCAGCTAAAGTTTTAAAACTAGAATATTGGTGCCATTCAACACGAATAATTTTTAGTAAATTAAAACTTCTGTGCTTTCAGATATTAGCTAATGTATTTGATTTGTTCAGTAAAACTGAGTAATAATGACAAAGCTTATCTAGGTAAATTTTAATTATTTCATAAATTCACAATGTCCAAACAGAAAACAATTTTATGATGTAGAATACGTGGTGTATTCTACACTTTAATAATTAGCCTGATGTCTGAAGTTTCGATTTCATGTATTTTATTGAAATGGCTTTTCGGAATGACTAAAATCTGTTCGACGACGTTTCATCAGATCAAACTATTGATTTCTAGGAAAATGATTTTTATGATTTCACTAACACTTGAAATTCTCCTACATACTTTAGTGAAATTTTTCAAAGAAATTTTGCATGTGTTTTATGAAACCCTGATTCAATTTGAGAAAAAAATATTAAATTGATCATTTTGACCAAAAGTAAATGAACTTCCACTGATGACATCGAAATTTCACTGAACATCAAAGATATTTCGTTTTAATACTTTGTCTACTTAAAATAAACAAGTAGTATATTTTTATTCCTAAAATAATACTCCCTACTGTTAACTAATCGAATGCCATGTTGTGGTTATTATTAGACAAAACAAATTATAAAAGCGTAAATTCAACACGATCATCATTACAGTTATGGTTTTTAACTTCACTTTGATTTGGCTGTCATAAATGGCATGAAAAAGGAAGGATTTTATGGAACATGAAATTTATGACTGAGGATGTATTCCACTTGAAGTGTCAGCAACGATGAAACAAGTATAAAATAATCTTTACAGTTTGAAAACTCATTAACTAATGTCACTCACTATGAAGAAAACAGATGTCTTAAGTAGTATTTTGAATAAACTGGCATCATAATGTCAGTTTTGGCAAAATCATGTGTTTCTGGAATATACTATTCGATTACACACAGTCGTTCATAAATAATAATCAAAATCTTATAAGAAGTTGAAACTTTAATTTTTGTGTGTCAGGACAGTTAGATGGTTTAAATATCTTGATGAAAACCTTTTGATGTTAATTTTCTAGTCAGTAAGATTCAAAAAGAGAAAGAAATGAGGAAAACTCACTATAGTTGGATAAGATTCAAATTGAGGAAACCACCGAACTGCGTCACAGTATACAAGCCCTCACTTGGAATTCTCAAAGCCAAGTGAAAAGAGGCAGACTAAAGAACACAGAAATCCGAGAATCGGAACCAGAACTGTAAAGAATGAACAGCAATCGGACAGAACTGGAAAGTAGGACGCAGAACAGAATTGGTTGGCGAATACTAGTAGACGGCGTACTCTATTAGGAGTAACAGACTTAAGTCAAATAAGTAAGTGAGTCCCACATTAACAATATTAAACAGCATTGTTTAATTAATGTTTCTCTGGTTTTGAGAAGAGTCACTGGCCTCGTAATTTTTGAAGAAACTCGTCTTTCATCATGAGACATCATAATTCTTCTAAATGAAGACCTTGGAACTCTCAGGGCGGAGTTTGAATGGCTTAAATTATTTGTTCCTGGTTAACCTTTTTTCTTTACGAGTTGGTTTTCTACGCCATTGGGTCGATAACTGAATACCCAACCGTCCTCTTCTATCTAGAATTGGGACCAGCATTAGCCGCAGAGCGGCTTCAGGTAGAGTCACGTCTTTCAGACACTACTGTAATAATCAATCGTAACATATAAACGAAGTATAGAATAAATCTTTTTAAAATGATTGACAACTATTTCAAATTGGTTGCAACATTTCAATGGTTAAAACTAAGCAGAAATATGTTTCGTTAGAAAATACACCATAAAATATCTAGTATAACGTCGTGCTCTACAAACAGAGAAACACAAAATTAGGAGACATGGTATAAATTTGATAAACTTGAGCAACATCATTCAACATATCTTTGTACATCGAGAATTGTTTTAATATTTATTAAAAAGTTACACGTAAAGAAAGATGGATGATTAAGGATATCTAATCGATACTGATGAACTCTGTAGTTACACATGTAAACATCAAGATCATCTGTGACCTTAGTATTTCTCATACTTCTGGGAAAATGTTAAAATCGATGTTTAGTCAAGAAAGGTTATTATTTTTCAGAATCGTTTAGTAATTTTCCTAGTACAGCTGATCATTCAGTGTAGTTTCAATAACCTTCCAGCTTCTAATGAATTTCTTAGGAAGTCAACGAGGCTTACTAAAGAAGTCCTGTTGTATGATATTTACGAATATCAGACATAACAATCGTAAACGCAAATAATTTCAATAAATGAATCCTACTACTATATATAGATATTAAGTAGTATAAAATTAAACGAGACATTTTTCAATGAAACACCAGTTCAGTGTGATCAATAGTACCTGGAGACTCAACAGTACTCGCAAGATGTAGCGAAGCTTGTTTCTTATTGAGATATTCAACTTACGTTGACTTGAGTCAAACTACATATTCACTTACTCTGTCTGGAGTTCTTCTACAGTTACTGCTAGTGCCAAGCCTGGATAAAGAGGGAGGGTTGGGCGTGTGATTATCGACCAAATCCCATAGAAAACCAACTCGCTAGAAAAACGCTAACGCCACCTAAACTATGTTGTGGTAGTTGGAAGGTCTTCGTTTAGAGGTGTTATGACATATCATGGTGAAAACCGAGTTTCGTCAGGAATCACGAGGCTGATGCTCCTTCTGACAACCAGAGCAACCATTAATGTGGGTACATGGAATGTCTACACAATGCGGGAGACCGGAACAATGATTCACGTAACTGCGGAAATGAGAAGATGCAATGCAATGGATTTAGTGAAACACAATGATCGCTGGTTGAGCGAAAATGACTATCCTCAGGAGAGATGCTCTTATACTCCGGTCTTTTATCAGAAAATGTCTCACTCCTAAGGGGTGCATAACAAGCACTGATAGGATTGGAATCTTGTGGACTTAGGATCATCAAAAAATATTTCAAAACAAGGTAAGAGAGAATTTCAATCGACGTCATCCAGTGCCAGGCGCCTGCTAACGTTATCAATGAAAATGTCAAAGATCAGTTGTATGAAAGGCTGCAGTCAATTGTCGAGAAACGCCTAACAAAGGACTTAACCATTCTAATAGGCGACCTAAACGCCAAGGTTGGAATGGACAATAATATGAAGAGGTCATAAGACGACATGGAGTCGGATGAAGAAACGAAAACGGTGAGATATTTGCAAATCTTTGGGTACTCAACAAAATGACAATAGGCTGCATTATATTCCCATGCAAACGCATACACAAAGTTACATGGGTTTCATTGAATCATACTACACAGAACCAAATCGACCATGCATCATTTTACACTGTATCCATCCATTAACTCCATCACATTTATCTGCAAAAATTAAAATACAATAAAATTTTTGACATAACATTATATATTTCAAGCATTCACATATAAGCAGAAAAAATCGTAGTGTTTAACGCGTATATATATTAATATTAATTGGCATTTGGCCAAGATTTTTGAATGAAAGAACTGATTGAACATTTATAGCTTAATAGCTTGAAAAAACAATACATCAGCACGTACATTTAAACAACGTATACACAAAAAATCTTGAAAAATTACAAACGATACAATGTTTAGAGTACATTTTAGGCCTACCTTCATAAATGGAAGAAAATTTTAGATTTGTTTTTAAAAAGTACACACAAACAAACACAGTCAATACTTGAATTGATTGGAATAACACAGTAATGATTAGATAAATAAAAGAGAGTAAAGTAAAATTAACAGCCAGCTAGTTGGACTAAAATAATTCTATAACTGATGACAGTGATTGAGATAAGGTTGTAATTCAAATCTAATTAAACAATGATCCAGCTAATTTCAAGAATATAACTTTATGCCAAAAAAATATATTTTTCACTATTTGTCAATAATAAACAGCATTATACACAAATATGTTTCTTTTTCAATGAACTTCATTGATTTTTGTTTGTTTTTTGTGAAAAATTTCATAAAATTAATATTAAAGAATTAATCATATGTTACATTTATATATATTTATATATTTTAATCAAAATTTACAGTTATATTTTAAACTACTTAAATTTTGTTGATAGATTGTATTTTTTTGATAAATTAATTAACAAATAATACTTGAAAGCAGATGAAATGATTTATGTATATATGTATATAGGAGACGCACATCAAACGTAGTAAAGCAGTTTTTTTCTAGAATATTCTCAAAAGTTTTTATTCATACTTGTGTATATTCAAAATTCCTCGCATTCTTATGGTTCCACTAAAAGGAGTACTAGGAGTAAGTAGTTAAGCAAGTCATATTCAAGATTCAATTGATCAGTTCAATATGATTTTTTTAAAAATGCAAATATACATGAAAATTATTACATAACAATGTATAGGTGTTCAGTTTACATTTGAAAAAAAGTAAAATTTCATATTACTATGCTAATGTAATCATTTATTCATCAAAACGAGGGAAATATAATTTTTTCAAAAACTTTTGTGTGTGAAAATTCGATAGTTCTAAATTTTTATCTACTAAAACTCATTTGCATCATTCAAAAACAGAATGTAGGCAGGGTAAAACAAGAAAATAGGTTCAACATATATATATATATATATATATATATATATATATATATATATATATATATATAGATTGATAGATTAACGTTCTGTGCTAGAAAATGGACGTGGTCCTGGACGATTGGAATAAGTCACTTTAGACATTGGTCGTGTTTGTTGTTGCTGTTGTTGATGCTGTTGACCTTGAGTATTTTCAGCGGCAATATTCGAACCGGATCGTAGACGATAATCTTTACGATTTGTTTGTTCTTGTAATATATTTTCTAATTGTAAAATACGTTGACTGGATGAATCACAAATTTGTTGTAGCTCTTGAATTTGTTTCACCGATTGTTTAGTTTTAATGATTAATGTTTCTGGAATAATTGAAAAGAAAAGAAAACAGGCGAGAAAAGGCGGTTATTTTGAACGGAATTCAATGTTGAACATTTTTACAATGTTCAATCAAAAATCAATTTCACTCGTCTCACTTTAAAGCTTTCAAATATTATTAAGATGGAACCTAGTTGTTACGAATCATCAGATGTTTGGATGCGATGCACTGTTGAGGATGTTGACACGTGAAAGAAATATTAATTTACCCCAATTAATACACTATCGTTTCCCTATTAATGTTTAAATTTTAACTCCCAAAATTATAACAGCACATATAAGCGAACAATATTACTGTTTTCGATTAGATCGTCATCAGGTTTTACTCTAATACACATGAATATTTATGTGGAAATGTTAGGACTAATCAAAGCAATTTGAGTCAGTAATCACATTGAAATGAAATAGAGATTACGTAACTACATATAATAGGCAAAAGTACAAGTGGATAGTTGGAAGACAGAGCTGTACTGATAGTAGTAAGAAAATTATAAAATATGATAACTAAAGTTTTATCAATAGAATAAATCAGACGTGGATAAATGGACTTAAAATAATCATTACAAAACATCAAAACCTTTAAGTAATAAGAAGTGTGTACATAATTAGGTAGTGAAGAATATAATAAACGGAAAGAGGCTGAGAATTACCGACAAATACAGAATGTGAAAATAATGCTAATAATAACAAAAATAAAATTTAGAAAAAATTTTAAAACGTTAGTTACGTCAGATGCGACCACGGAAGAGTTAGGAGTGTCACGAATTTCTTCTGAACACATAAATCGGGGGTGAACGTACGAATTCCTATGGCTTATGCTATGTGTAGGATACTAGCCCTTCATAAACTATGCTGTGGTGTTCATTCATTCGTTGGTGTTGGGGATGTTAGATCCCCAAAACTCTCTTGATAAAGGCCTTATCTCGGATTTTACGTTTGCCAGCATGGGCAGATCAGTCGACCTTGAGATTTCATTTCGCCCATGGAAAATCCATGGCTCTGTTTGGCTGCTGTGTGCTTTTGTGCTATTTTGGTAACTGTCCCAAGGACGTTTCTGTGATGCATAAATAAACGAGAGTTGTGTGCTTGATTGTACTGTGATTGCTGGGTGTTTGTAGAATATAATTTCTACGCTTACGAAGCCTTTTATCTTCAGCTTGGGATTCAAGGTAGCCTACCTCGACGCTGGTAATTGTCTCGTTCACGTTTATCGACTAAGGCGAACTCGTAATGACTTCAAGCGTACCTAGTGACGAACCCTACAGTTAGTAAAGTTACCCGGTAGTACACACGATATCGCTATCTGCTCTACTAGAGCAGCTGAATTTGTAAATGCACATAGAGGAGGCAAACTCAGGTAATTTTTTCTTCCGTTGAGTAGACATCGATGGTCCATTTGAGAAGCTCAACGCAAGTTTAGCTGCGTTGAATGTTCTACTAATTACTCTCGTCAATCTATCTTGCAGAGTATCGCAGACAACATCTCCACTGAAATGATTCATACACTGCCTTGATTGATTTATGTATATTGAAGAGTAAAGCTTGATGACGATCTAATCAAAAACAAGATTGTTCGCTTAGTATCTCTGTTGTTCTAAATTTTCACAATGAGATCCTTAATTATACCCAAAGTTATCTCCTAAAATTTGAATCCGTTACATAACGAAATAATTATCGTTCAGCTACACTGTATGCTTATTCTGTCATTCTACAAGATATAATCAGGAAAAAATACACCGAATAATATATAAAACGTTCAGTATAAGAAACAAAATGTCTAGTTTCAATCGTTAATGAACACGTACAATAAACACAAAAACGTTATCTTATGTGTCATAGTTTCTAATAGTTTCACGGTTGAAAGTCGAATTTTTTTTAAAAAATTTAAAACTATCTTTTCTACATTTTATTTATTTAACCGAAATTGATTGAACAAACAAATCATTGATTAAAACAAAACTATAATTGAAAATTGATTTTTTTTTGTTTTGAAAATATTAATATAAACTGAATAAATAGTCTTGTCAATAAGTTTTTAGTACTATTATTATTAATACTATTGTTATTGTAGATGAAGTCTGAACGAGAAAGGACTTTTGTTGAGTCAATGATTACAAACAGTGACAACATAGTTCAAAGAATAAATCAATGAATGCTTCCATTGAACCAAAGCGTGCAATACATCGAAATGCATAGTTTCATCGAATACGTCGATGAGTAGCGATACAGTAAGTACATTCGCAAGTTATTCAACAGTGGAAATATATATATGAGGAAATTTATCAAATATACTAAGAGAATTATTTTTGTGACTCTAATTCTATTGGTTAATTCCTACTGATCAGTATTATGGTCGTCCTAACTATCAATGTCGCAGACTTCGATTTTGATTCCTATTCGACCTAAGTGTATAAATATGCATTATCTGTAACGTTTTAGGACCCGAATCCGGATCCCTAGTCCGAGATCCTGATTCTCTCTGGACTCGGTCCTCGTACTTTCAAGATGTTTGTAGAATACCTGTTCTACTTCATGTCAAGTCTTTTTCTATTACTCAATGTGGGATTGGGATGTTCGGATTAGAGTAGCCTGTCGTGTCGCCTCATCCACGATCCTGGCTCTCGTTTTCCAACTAAGGTAAAGTCATAATAGTTCAAGCTTATCAAAATGACATGCATACGTAGCATTATATTAATTCATAATAAGAAACCATTTACCCTTTGATAAGTGTGAAACATGCACTTTTCAATTGGATTTTATAATGCAATAAGAAAATAAATTTTATCATAACTATGAGATACATTTACAACAATGTGATCTTATATTTATTTCTTAAAAAACTAACATTTCTGAAGTAAAGATCACACTAGATGATTATTATTATTATAGAGTAATGGAGATTATTGAGTTGCATTGAAATCCTGAACTAGTCAATGTTAGATCAGTAGTAGAAACTTGGAAGCATTGGATGGCTGTTTTGTTGTAACGCCTACACGTAAACACATCATTTTGATTTGCTTGAACTATTACTAGTTTACTTAGTTGGAAAATGAGAGCGAGGATCGAGGATCCGGCGACACGATTTGCTACTCAAAGCCGATTATCCCAACCCCCATATTGAGTGAAAATAAGAAGACAAGACTTGATATGAAGTACAATCTGTATTCTACAAGCATCCAGAAAGTACGAGGTCCGAATCCAGAAGAGAATCAGGATCTCGGACTAGGGATCCGGGACCAAGCCCTGATCCTAGTCGTGGTCATAAAACGTTACACATAATGCATATATATACATTTTGGTCGAATAGGAAACAACATCGAAGTCTTTGACATTACCAGTTAAGACAACCAATAGGAAGCAACATTTGAAGTGGTACTGGTAGTCAGGACAACCAATAAGAAACAACATTGGAGCACATGACATTGATATCTAGGACGACCATAAAATTGACCAGTAGGAATTAACCAATAGCAATTGACCAACAATTCTACTAGGATATTGGATGAACATCCTGACATTTGTCCTAGTATGGGGCTCATTAGTAGTACGCACTAATGACCGGCTCCGTAAGGAAATTATGGTAAGTTTTAGTGAAAAGGCGTGACCAACAGAGTTCAGTCGTGTCCGGTGTGAATGAGTTCCTTACCGATGAAAATGGAGGACATTACACCATATCACCAGGGTCGAATGAAGTTAGACAGTATCACCAATCAATGTCAATTCAATGGTCGAAAGATGCAAGCGTTGTAAATGCGCACTGATGATGAGTGACGAAACGACAGTCCAGTGCTGCCTAGTTGCTAATGCGATGATCTAGCATTGATTGAATTTAAAATTTCAACCTCAACCAGTTAAATTGAATGAAGACAAAAAATAATATTTCGAAAAATATACAAAACACTTCAACTATTTTGAATAAAAAAAAACATCACTGTTACCTAGATGGGTCCAAAGTTTTTAAAATCAAACTTCATTATTTATTCACCTATTTACACTGCAATTTGATTCTTATCAGAAACAATTAATATGAAATTCAATAGTTCATTGATTTTTTTTAACATTTTATTCAGTTCTAGATAATGTGAAACAGCGACGAATTACAAAGACTTAAGAGTCACGTGAAATTCAACAAAAGCTTTTTAAAACTTATTTTTCAATTCAAGTTATGGAGATTTGTGTTTTTTGCACATTTAAATCTTCAATCAATCATTGTTAGACCACCATTAGAAACCTGAAAGTACTGGATGAATGTTTTGTCCTGGTATGGGACTCATCAGCAATGAGCATCCACGTTTCCTGCACCTCTTGGGATTCGAACCCAGCGCCTTCGGTCTTGTGCGTGAATGCCAAACCTCTGGGCCCCTGGGTTGGCATTCAACGGTGTTAATTTGCACGGCGTTATGAAGATTGTTACGTTTTTTGAAACCATGAATCGATCAATGTTAGACCACCACTAGAAAGGTCCTGTGTTTGAATCCTGTGGGGTACAGGAGTCGTGGATGCGCACTGCTGAGGAGTCCCATATCAGTACGAAATGGCCGTCTTCCAGTGCTTCCAGGTTTCTAATGGTGGTCTAACATTGATCGATTCACGGTGTTAATGTTTAATTCTGCTGATGAATGTCATACCAGGACAAAACGGCCGTCCAGTAGTCCCACGCTTTTAAATTTAATTGTTAGAAAAAACAAAAACGAGTTAGTATGATGAAGACATGGTATCTATAGAGTTGGTTTACACTGTTCACTATCTGTATGTAACCAAACAAGTTAAGATCATTTCTATGACTGTTAAACAAATATTTCATCTTATACTATGACTGTTTACTAGTGCTCATTCAATTGAAGTTAAATAGTCCGTTATAAATAAAGTGTGTGTGTGTGTGTGTGGAAATTTGCATCCCATATGAAAAAATGTATATATTCAACTTTATTTATATCAAAATGTAAGTATCATTAAATAAATTTTTGTTTAGTGAAGAGGATTT